TATTAGCTAAATTTCAGCGAAATCTCGTATACAGAAACAGATTCATTGTCTATTGTCAGTATGAGATGTATGAAGCACACAGAAGTCACTTTCAAACCACGCAGCTTTCTGTTGATCTGCACGGCAAATTCATGAGACCAACATGAACCCGTTGTGAAATCTGCTTGTGGAACTGTGTCTTCACACAAAACTCTCAATCTCTCTGATTCCTATTGGTTTGGCTGGATTTTGCCTCGAGCAACCGTAAATGTGACCGCAGGGATTTCCAAAGTGCAGTCTGGGATAAAATGCTTAAAGCAATCATTTTTTAAACACATTTGACAAAATTGTATATGATTATTGTTATACTTTTTAATTTCTAAAACTATAAAAACAAATGTTTTTGATATTTTAAATGCTTTCTAGTACAACATAAAATCCAGTTATTTAATTTTGTAAACACCATGTTTTTATATCATGGTTATTTTTTTCTCGCATGGTAAACGAGTCTGCATGAACATATATAGCTGCAAAAGGAACATCATATTTGCGGTTTTCTGCATTAAAACATTTGAAAACATCTGGGATTACTTTGCATAAACTTAGACTGTCTTAGCTAGTCTGACCTACAATATTTTCCTTGAGGAAAAAATGGAATTCAAATAATAGTTAATCTAAAATATAAAATTTACTGAAAATGTAATCATTCTCAGGCCATCCAAGACGAGTTTGTTTCTTCATCAGATTTGGAGAAATGTGTCATTGCATCAGTGTCTCAGCAATGGATGCTCTGCAGTGAATGGGTGCTGTCAGAATGAGAGTCCAAACAGCTGATAAAAACATCACAATAATCCACAGCACTCCAGTCCATCAGTTAACATCTGGAGAAGACAAAAGATGTAAGAATCAAATCCATCATTAAGACATACAAGTCCATAATCCATAATAACGCTTCCTCCAGTGAAAAGTCCATCTCCTGTTGTCTCTCACATCAAAATCCAGCCACATATTTGTTTAGAGCTGTTTTGGCTTGTAAACTGTGCCAAATATGAGTAGATTTCTCTCCTGATTCAGACCAGATGACCTTTATAATTAGAAGGATTATAGATAGAGGACTCATATTTTAGCCAGAAGCAACAGTTTAAAGTTAAAAACATCTCAATGTTGGATTTATTACAAACACACAGCTTTTCACTTCACAAGACATTATCTGATGGACTGGAGTGGTGTGGATTACTTGTGGATTATTGTGATGTTTTTATCAGCTGTTTGGACTCTCATTCTGACGGCACCCATTCACTGCAGAGCATCCATTGCTGAGACACTGATGCAATGCTACATTTCTCCAAACCTGATGAAGAAACAAACTCATCTACATCTTGGATGGCCTAAGGGTGAGAGTAAACTATTTATTTTAAAGAAACATTGTGGGTTCAAAACAAGTTAAGCTCTACAAGCAGAATTTTACTGAATATTTTAAGTGATAAAGCTGCTTAGTCTTAGATTTCTTAGATTTTGTTCTTCCGGGATCATGACTTTTGATCCTTCAAGGGAAAGACTGAGTTTTGTTTGCAGTGTTAATGCAGATCCCTCATTAGCTACTTCCAGCTGAATGATCCAGATCTCAGATGCAACTCAGACCCCAGAGCAAAGGACCAGGCCGAGACTGTGTGACATGAATAACCCTGCATAACCCGGCCGCTTCTAGTGTGTCACCCGCTTGGCTCCCGCTCGGTACACTTGGGGCCGTGCATGAATACGGTGCAGTGAGCGGGGGAGTGAAACAAGAGGATCTGATCTCCACCTGCACTGACATCAGCCGTTATTAGCCAACTGATCCCCTGCCATCAAAACAAGCCACACATCCACTGCTTAAGAGCTGCTACGAGGGTGCATGATGAAACAAGTCCGAGCTGCGGACCGCACAGAGAGAAACCTCCTGCTCAACAACAAACCTATTTCATCTGAACCAACTACCAAGTGACTTTGATAAAACGGCCTTAATGCACACATAAAGAGACCCATTAGATGAGACTCTTGCGTGGATTTAAAAAACGCTCCTTTCAAAGATTGCACCCAAGTTGTTGGTTATTTTGTTGTAACTGCAGCAGGTGATTCTGCGCATCCTTCTGTGAGGGTCTAGTGTGATATGAGCGATGTTATCTTGATGGAGGGAGGCCAGTCGATGTGCATCTGCTCCAAGAAAACTTGGAAAAGCTCAGCCTCTGCCCTAAGCCACTTCAAAATGAAATTCCTACCTTCCCTCATCTGACAAACCTGTGTCTGATATAGTCTTCAAAGGAAAAGTGGCAAGCCTGTACCTCCAGGCTGAGGTAATTTGACTAAAGCTTTGCAAAGAGAGAAGACAAATGTCGTGGGCTTTTTTTCTCTTCAAAGATTAGATGTGATGCTGCTTCTCTTGCATGTTCATCGCTGTAAATGGGTCATCTCAGGAAACAGTGCATGAAAAAGTTTTGAAAATTAAAATGTAGAATTTTCTTTTTCAACTTGTGGAAGATGGGCATCCAATGTCCCCTTTGAAGCACAGCCACAAAATCAGACTTACTTTGAGATCATTCTGAGGTTAAATACATATTTACAATCATAACAAGACATATTGTATTAGCTATGATACTGTTTTTGAAATCAAATCTTTGCATAGCTATGACAGTAAACACTGGAATCTAACAATGCCTTGGAAAAAAACAATTAATCTTTAAAAAAAATGAAGCATAGCTATACATAAACCCATATAGGAAATAAAAGTTATCGAATAAGCATGTTCTAAACTCCTGAAACATCGGTGTTTCATATTTTAGAGCAGTCACTACAATTTATTAAAGAAATCAATTAAATCTGTATGTGGGTGTGTGTGTAAAAAAAAAGAAAAACAGATGTAACCCCTTTTGTAATAATTAACATTTTCATAAGTAACTGTAATTTAATTACACATTTTTTTCTCAGTAACTGTAATTACTTTAATTTTGTAATTAAATTACGTAATTCCGTTACATGTAACTAGTTACTTCCCAACACTGATGATCAAATCACCAAAATGCTATTAATGCACCATACCAAATTATTTTCTAATAATCTTTGTGCCAAAACTTTTTTTCTGTCAAAAATAGATAAATTTAATTCAAATTAAATAAATGATCTATCTATCTATCTATCTATCTATCTATGTCTGTCTGTCTATTATGTATGTGTGTGTTTCCCTAATGGAAATGTCCAGCATAACGATTACACAATATCCTCCCGAACTAATCAAATAAGAATTAAAAGGCATTTAGTATTTAGTCATTCTTGGAGATTCTTATTGGACCCCATTATGACTGAATCCAAGTTTTGACAGAAATCCTTCACAATATTTTTGACAAGTGTCTACTCCATATTCACGCAAGCTGTAGGTAGCACCAGAGGAGTTGATCAATTTAAGTATTAAACCCGAAAAGCATTTAACAAGAGTGAAAGATGATCGAACAGTGATGCCAAACGACGCTTATCGACAGTTCAAAGGGCTTCAGTTGGTGTTATCGTGGAATAGGGCAGTAAATGAGTGATTTAGAGCCTGACAGGCGTCTGTATTCAGTCTGCTGATGGACTGTCTGCACATCGTCTCACCTTTGATTTGTTGCGCAGCGCCGTGTCGCCAGAGTCGCGCAGTCTAGCCGCTATTGTGCGGATCACAGACGCACCTGGATGAGGACTGGTGTGAAGCTGCGTCTGCTGGACTCGACGGGTAACAATTATAAAATCAGTTTCTTTTAGGCATGATCATGCATTCACTCTCCGGCCTGCGTCATGTACTTAACATGTATCTCTAAGCATTCTTTTGCAGTGCAGACCTCTACTGTTCAATCACATAAAGACAACATATCAATTTATAATAATAATAATAATATTCATCATCATGATTTCTTTGGTATGCATACTTTATCTTCACTGAATCTAGTCTAAAATGCCTTCAGCTGCTATTAACACACTATCAGTAGGCTATAGTGTTTGCCAGGTGAGGAGAGGTGTGTTAATTCACAGCACAGACTTTCACTTCCCACTTCACTGATTAGCCACTGATGGAGTCATCCAGCTTGTTTTTTTTTTGTTTGTTTGTTTTTTTTGTCAAATGTGCGTCCTGGTTACATTTCACCCCAACATGAAATGTGTAGGTATAAAATGCATGCAACAAAAAAAATATATATATAAAATAGGTATTTGTTTACATATTTGGACATTAAGAAAAATGTTTTCTTTTTCATTAGGTCATTGATACCAAATGGCATGTATAACATGTATAATATGTAATAAACATGATTCCTTCTTCATTTTAAAAGTGTGCTATTTTTGGACAAACATACAGTAGAGGCTTGAAAATAGGCTGGGATTAGGTGGAAAAGTAGCTTGCAGCTAATATACAAAATCAGCATTAGGCAGTTAATAATTCACAAAATATGTTTGAAAATGAGCAAACTGATATTAATACATAAGGTTTTAGAACTGTATACCCACACACACACAACTGCACTACAGAACTGTATATCATGATTTTGTTCTTTAAACAGAGCGTCACACTGCCTTTTATTAATCTCACGTTGTTGTTGGAATCTTTCACAATTTATTTAACAACAAAGTTATTTTGGGAACATGTAAATCACATGCTGATGCACATCAATACACGTCTGATCTCTTCGTCTGATATAGCAAGACAATCAGTTTTCCTAGCATTTCACACAGTGCTCTATTTTAAGTACACAAACGATGCTTTCTGAGGGGGTCGCTTGGCTACGCATTTGGTGAATGTATATTGTATTAAAGAAATAAATACTTACCAGTAAATACACTTTTTAGTGGCTAATTCTTCTAGCTCATAGAAAAACCCTTGTACAGTCTGATATACATTATGAAAAGCTGTACAGCTGAATTATAATTAAAATAAGGACGCTTTTATTTTATTTTTTTTAATTATGTTGATATAAATATATATTTATATATACTTTTTTGTCAAAATATATGATCGAGGAGACAAGAAACACACATCTCAACACGGACGTTATAAATAAGTGTCCAGGGTGTAACTGTGGCGCGGTCAGCGGCAGCCACATCCCTCCACCACCATCTCCTGATAGTTTTTCAGCACCACCCTGTCCGTCTCATCCAGATAGAGCATGGAGATTGCACTGAGCTCCGTGGGAACGCAGCAGGCCTTGGGAATGTCGGTGTTTACCGAGTTCACCAGCGTCTGCACAATAGCGTGATTGGTGGAGTTCAGGTGATCGGCCAAAGGAAACGGACACTCCCCGTGACAGTAGTACGCCTGATATCCGGGAGGCGCCACGATCCAGTCGTTCCAGCCCACGTCGCTGAAGTCCACATAGAGCGCGTGCCGCCGACAGTTTCGGTTGCGCTTGCGACTTCTTTGCTTTGGGCTGCGCTTCGCTCGCCGCGTCAGCGGGTGACTTTTGCCGTCGTGCCCGAACGTGACCAGCAGCGGGCGAAGCTGGTTCCAGTCTTCATCCGGAAGCGGATGCAAGGAGCGACTTACGCGTACATGGCATCCCTGGTGACGCGAGGTTGGGTTCAGGGGCACCACCTCCACGGCCAGGCCGTGATTGGAGCTCTTGTCGCGGGTCCAGCGCAGCACGGCGAGACTCACGTCGAAGCTCTCCCATCGGGTCGTGTTGTGGCGCACCAGTCGAGTGTCCAGCAGCTGCGTGATGAGCTGCCCGGCCCGCGGGGGCTTCAGCACCTCATATATGTTTATCCGGTGGAGACCGTCGTCTCCCGTGGGTTGGGGATCTGAGATTGCATCATCTATCTGTTGCCTGTAGATACGAAGCTCTGCGGTAGAAATGAGTTCCTCCTCTGGGACGCTGCTGAGATTGAAGACGAAGCGCACAGGAGTCTCCGGTGAGCCGCCTGACTGCAGCTCTTCCATGTGCTCTAGAGGAGGAAAATCAAAGGACAGCTCAAGAAACTGGTAGAAGATACACTATTATGACCCAGTTTTTGAAATGATACAGTAGCAAATTCTTATTAGGCATCCTAACTGTGATACTTTGGATCAAAAAATGCTCAAATGTATCAGTTTTCTCAAATTATATTTATGGTTTGGTTCAAACCTTACATTTAGATTTAATATAGTGCTGTCAAACGATTAATCGCATCCAAAATAAAAGTTTTTGTTTACATAATATGTGTGTGCACTGTGTATATTTATTATGTCTATATAAATACACACACATGCATGTATACATTTCAGAAAAATAGGTTATGTTTATATATTAAATATATTTATTTATATTATATATTATATATCTAAATTATATGAATATTAATATAGACATGTAAATATTTTCAAAAATATATACTGTATGTGTGTATTTATATATACATAATAAATATACACAGAACACACACATGTATTATGCAAACAAATACTTTTATTTTGTATGCGATTCATCACGATTAATCATTTGACAGCACTAATTTAATATAAACAAAAACTAAATTAGCTATAATATGCTATAGCTATAATTTTCTAGTTTTAGTTTACTTACTATAAAAATTGTGATGTCACACACAAAACACCAGAAGAAAATGATAAAAACCCCACAATTTCTTGCAGTCAGTAAATCTAGTCATTATATGATCTGCACATCAACACTAAAATACTATTTAAACAAAATTGTTTATTTTAATTTTCTGAGGATTGTTCAAAGAAAACTGAACTGAACAAACATGGTTTAAACCAGAATCCATGATTTTCGTTTATTTGATTAAAATGCTCTTCGAATAAATGACACAGTCATTTTAGGCTTTTGAAGTGTTACATGAAGGTAACACTTTATTTTAAGGGGTCCTTGTTACACGTTACATGTACTTACTATTATAATAACACTTAATTGTGCATAATTGCATGCAAGTAACTCTAAGCCAAACCCTAACCCTAACCATACAGTAAGTACATGTAGTTAATTAATATTACTCAGTACTTAAATGTATAATTACACTGTAACAAGGACACCTTAATATAAAGTGTAACCAACATGAATACTATGAACACAATTATCTACTAAAATGATACCTAGCATCAATTACAATGTAATTCAATACGTTGTTGCGATGCAAAGTAATACATGCTAATGCACTGATGCTCAACCTACAGATTTTCAAGCAATATTACCAATGTTGGAAAACATTTCATATTAATTCCTGTTATTTCACGCTTTAATCTCCTACTTGGTTTTGATTGGTCAGTCATGGCAGTCAAATCAGAATTGCTGTCTAGAATAAAACTGTATTACGGATCTCTCATCCAGGTAACTAGTTTCCTATATCTCCAACTTTTATGTCTCTCATATCACTCTCTTTCTCTCATTTTGACTTTAAAATTACTTTATTGAACAGATGGCTATAAACTCAGGAGTCTCCACTGAAAACATCATTCAGAAGAATGAGAAACGTCTCAGTTATGTATGGTAACCCTCGTTCCCTGAAATTGGTCTCTCTAAGCGAGATCCCAATTCGTCGGTCATCCGATGTGACGTCGGGAGTGACCGACTGAAAGGGAACTGGTAGAAGACTCACAGAGTTGCATGAGAGAGGAAGTCAAGTAACTTAATACAGATATCAATATTGTAATAATATTGCTGCCATGTTTGTCTTGTCTCTAGGTGAATTGTTTTTAGCATTATAGTGGATTATTTCCTCTTACCAGAATCTATAAGATTGTTCTCAAATATTTAAAATCATTTAGTATTTCATTTAATCATTTAATAATTCATATATTTATTCATTTAGTATTGATCCAAATAATAACATGTATCATAGAGCTGATTTAGCTTTTGTTTACAGTTAAATTAAGTTGTAAACAGCCAAAAATCATATTGGTCATATTGACCAACATGTTTATGTCTGGTGACTCTACCAATGCACTCTTATTTTCAGTGGTATCCACTCCACTTATTCCTTGTCCATTTTTCAACGTAGCTGAATCTCTCAACTCTTACTCATTTAAGTATGCAGGTAAAAAGAAAAGTAAAATAACAAGAATAAACTGTTTTAACTATGCTGATGGCCTTCTATCATCTTGATACTTAATGTGTATTTTTCTGAAGCTTTCTGGGAATTCTGTCCGCCTAAGAGACCGCATTGCTGGCAACAGGATTTTATTTAGAAATCTGTAGAGTAGCATTAAAAATAATTGCATGCTGAGAAAAGTCCCTCGACAGGATCCACATGACAAAGTGTGGTGGTGCAGAGACTTTTTAAATGTTGGGTTGAGTCTGCATTTGTCATGTGTCAATGTCTCCGCTGTCTTACCTTCATGATGGAATCCTCTCACAGTGTTTGCGCGACTCGTGGACCTTTCGGGATAATCGAAGCTCACGTCATGGGCTCCGGCGTCTTCGGCCTCCCCTGACTGCAGGCGATACAGGTCCAGCAGATACTGGGGCACCACAGCCGAGTAGCTGGGTCGCGGTCGCTTCTGCAGCCCAAACATGTGCAGCAGCGTGGCTTCAAAGTCCCGCAGCAGTTCATGACTCTGACCCAGGTGCTGAGCCGATGCTTTCTTCTTCCCTTCCTCGGGTATTAGACTAGCATAGCTGCTCTCTCCCAGTAGGACTTGGCATAATAAAATGACCATCAGCATTCGATTACCAGGAATCATGATGTCTCTGGTGGGCAATTTCGGGAAGCAGAAGAGAAAAGCAAGACTTCAATGAAAGATGTTTGACTCCCCATTGTCACCTTGCTTTCAATAATTAAATTGGATACCGTTAAAATGTCATTGACATTTAGGTCAGAAACATACTTTATGCAAGTTCTCGAAGGCAGAATGCTTGGTCAATGATTTGCAAATATGTGGTCCTTCAACAGACCTCCGTACTCAAGGGGGCGACAAGGCATCCTTCAAATGTCTGCGTCATTAGACTATATGCGTTATTATTCAAGTTATTATTTTTACTTCTACTAACATTCCCAGCAACATTCCCTTTAAAGTGTCACTCCACCAAGACAGTAGTTGAACTAAAAGTACAAGAAATGCATCTGACATGTTTCAGAATGCAACAAGACACAAAATTGAGCTTACGTAGCTATACTGGGAAAAAAATGATGTAGGATTTCACTCTGAAATTGCTTACAAATTTCACAGATAATTACAAAGAAGTGGCAAGTAACACATTAAACTTAAAGAAAAGAGTGAACCGAAAACAAAATTTGGTGGAGTAACAATTTTCACTCTAGTAAATGCCATTACTTTCACAACTAATTACAAAGAATTAGCATGATATTACACTTTGATGTAGAAAGACTGATTTTCTTGTAAAATGTTCTCCAATAATCTTTGTTTGCTTTATATACTAACAGTGTAGAAGTGTTTGGGTTTGCGTAGAGTATGTTTTAGACCTTATTTATTCCAGATAACTGCTATACAATTAAAAATCTGTATATAACGGCATAATGAACAAAGGTTAGTAGTTTTGGGGGTCATTTGCCAAAAATAAATAAATCTAATTAAATGTCATCATTTAGCACTCTCATGTCATTTCAACCCTGTGTGACTTCCTTTGGACTCCACTGACTTATATTTTTGGTTCCCCAAAGAACCTTTATAAAACATTTTTTTTCTTAGTGTGAAGAACATTTTAATATTTAAATGTATTTTTCCACTATAAAGAACCTTTTGTGCAATGGCAAGCTTCCATAGATGTTCTCCATGCAACCATAGATGCCAAAGAGAACCTTTAGTTTTAAGAGTGTTATGGACATATTTTCCAAAATATCTTCTTCTGTGTTCCACAAAAGGCATTTTGTAATGGTTTCGAATGACATTAGGGTGAGTAAATGATGATATAATTTTCATTTTTATCCCTTTAAGGGCTGAAGCAAACTACAGTTTGGTAGTCAAAACCGATGTCAAACAAGGACAGCAACCTACAATTTTCAAGTGCTTGCACCGCAACATAAAAAAGCTGAAAGCAAAACTCCTTATTGACCACTGTTTTTGTAAAGAATGACTAAGCCTTTTAATTTGCTCCAAATATGTAACAATCCCGTCACACGATTAGGACTGGATAGGCGTGGTCCACTTACCGACAGAAAATAAAGCATGGGAAAACAGTCCATGTTTGTCGAGAGCTGATACAGGGCGAGCTCCTCAAGTGAATGTTACGTGGTCCTGGAAGGCTGTTTAAGAACTGCGGTGAGATTCCTTTCCTGAAATACAAGGGTGTATTTGCCAATTAATATTTCAAGTAATCCGATTACAGCAAACATTTCAGAATAAGCATGGCATGATTTCACTAAAACCAAAATGCAAGTTTGGGTCAGACTGACATCTTAAAGCAACTAAAATGCTGCTTGTAAATGAGCACTGATAACGTGTTGCACAAGACGGCTAGGTGTGAACACCTGAAAAGATGGCAATTCGATTTACATACAAATAGAGGTTCGTTTGTCAACAAAGGGATCTCAGACTGCCTCTTTTATTGACAGTCTTTTAAAAAGCCTTCCTAAAGAGTCTTTAAAAATCCCCCAACCCAGATTGGCCATACAAGCGGCACCATCCTGGTCCAACACCGTGATTTGTTAGAACCCATAACATCCAAATATGTAGCTACCTAATTTGCGCCAAAAGCAGAATGGATTTAAAGAGATATCTTCATTGCAACCACCATGCAACTCCACAAATGAGATTTTCAACGATTCATTTGAGAACAGAGTAACTGCACTAATAACAATCACAAGTGCTTTGTGAAAGGTCTTAGGTCATCACTGAATCCACAGCTAAACTCAATAGTTGAGCGTAGCAACGCATGCATTTGGTCATTTCTTGGACTTAGTTCCGCTGGAGCAAGTCCAACCATTACAACAGGAATGATGCATTTTAAAAAGAACACGTGTGTGTGTGTGTGGTCATGAGAGTTATTTCTCTCTCTCCGTCTTCACAGTTGTTACACTAGCGTGGCTTGCGGTGTGATTCTTGACTGATCTACCGAAGCACAGTGTTAGATTCTTAACAGAAGGCCAGTGGTTTTTAGATTCATAAAATCTGCTGTTTGAACGACAGTGCAGCTAGCGCAGCTATTCAAACAGTTCATTAGGTCGAGAGCAAACCATAAAAATGAGTGTAACTAAAAGACTTTAATCAGCCATGCCAGAAAACATGTAACAAAGCACAAACAATTGGTTTCTTCAGACCACCTACACTTGTTTAAAAGCCTACAGATACTGCCCTAAATATTTACAGAATCCCTGTTTGAAGATGGAGTGCAGTGCATGTGCTTTTGTGCAGAGTGGGTTTTATAGTGCAGCTTGCTTCCTTTAATTTGGCAGAGTCGTTTAAATCTCACAGCGCTCGACTTTGCTCTACCCTAACCCTGCTTAATGAGATTAGGTTATGCACATGGTTCTTCAGATGTGTATGGGGGAGTAAGTTACCACAGTAACAGACAATGTTAGGATCTAACCTCTGACAAGTTTAATTCAGAAATCAAATCTGGAGATCCAAGCAGCATTCTGTCCATTTGGAAAATGAGAGACAGCTTAAGGAAAGTAGCCTATAGCCTGCAGTGCACTCGCTAAAGTTCATGGATATGTACGATGCAGAATCTGTATTGCACTGACACAATCTCTAGACCAGGGTCCTCCAAATTATTGTTTGATCTCAAACTAATAAAACAACAGAAATATGCATTTACGTGAATGACAATATTAAGTTCAAGATAAGAATGCAACTAAAGTTTTCATCTAATTGTGTCATTGTCCCTCCGTCTATCAAAAGCAATGATTTTGTAATGGTTTTGAATATCATACCAAAGCATGCAAATACAGTATTATAGTAATATAAGCACACTATTACATGAATCAAGAACCATTTTCTTGGCCTGAAAAAGACTCAAGACCTCTGCTCTAGTCTAGACAACATCTGTTGATCTGTAATCATCAGTGGACTATTTGACTACAGCTTTTGCAACAGCGTTTACTTTTTAATAAGTAGGCTATGTGGTATGAAAAGATATTTAGGCAATATCTTGTTTCTTCTGATTTCTTTTTTTTTTGGCTTTCTACCTCCTTGAACTAAAGATAAACACCCCTGCCAAGTGACTCATGGGTTGTGTCTCTTTATGTCATAATGTACCTCATAAAACCTTTCAGACGTGTTCTTATGCTTGACTGAGTGCCATCACTCTTCACTACAACTCATTTCAGACAAAGTACGAGTCTTCAAAACATTCGTGGAGGTCAAATATACTAACTCAGTTGCACACTGGAGACCGGTTTCAAATCAAATGAAGGACACAGCTATTGTTTTTAATGCCAACACCGTAAACATTGCGTAAGCCAGTGTATAGAGTTAGGAATGCGTTAGAATTGGATTTGAAACCAGTTTACGTTCTACGCAGAAATCAGATATTCGGAACACGCAGAATGTAGAATTTTGTTGTAGATTCCAAAAACTCAATATAAAAGTGAATCGTATACGTTGCTCAGTACTATCCAAACAAAATATACCACCGTCATGATTTAGGCCACGTAGGCTACTCCAAATAAAACTGTACAAACGTGGTATTAGCCACCACATTAAAACAGAATTAAAACAGAATGTCAGTTCTGTCTGAATGAAATGGCTACTGGTACATTTGGAGCAGATGTGGAAGCTCTCATCCACTCCTCCTGTGAGTGCGCGGTCAGGTGCCTGAGCAATGCGTTGGTGGTTCTAAACTTGCAAAAAACATTAAAACATTTAAGCTATTCGGTAAGCATAGACTAAAATATTAAATCCGGTGTAAAATTCCCAATACAATTTGACAAAGCAGAACGCTCCAGTATTCGGTGTGCACAGCTTTGTTGATTATAATATTTGCGTCTGGAGACGTGAAGACAGCTTTGTGGAATATAATGGGAGCGTTTTAGTTAGTCGCGTCGCCTTCAGAGAACACAGGGCGTAAAAGACGCGCAAAATGGCCAAAACGAGTGTCATTGGGTCTAAATAATTGCGCATGCCTCAGATACGGCATAAATCAATTCATGCTAAGACCATATCGAAGTACCGTGCATGGTGACATGCCAACTTACCATTGGTAGAGATGCGCACGGTATTCCTGGATGAGAAGACGGTAAAACGGAGTTTTGAAGAAGTTCACCTCACGTAACAAACCCGTGCATGGTGACATGCCAACTTACCATTGGTAGAGATGCGCACAGTATTCCTGGATGAGAAGACGGTAAAACGGAGTTTTGAAGAAGTTCACCTCACGTAACAAAAGTCCAAGCCTGAAGCGAATGTTTAGATCATTAGTTCCGCATCACGTAGAAGAAACCAACTGAGTCCAATGCGAACGCGGATCTCTGTAGCTCCAACCAAGAATAGCCGAGCACGGAGAACATCGCCGACTGATCCCGCATCCAGTTCTCCAGGCAGTTTTTATGTGACCGCCCTGCCTCCTCCCCTACTCTCTCAACCCACCGCACTGCACCCAGCACCTCTGATAAACCCCAGAGAACGCAAACACACAAGATCTCTTTCCTTCTTTAAGTTACATGCATGCACTGCAACACCACGCTGTGGATGGAGACCGCGATCTCTTCTGGAGTGTATAATCAGCGCGCTGGCAAGCACATGCAATCTTACTTTTTTTCCCCCTTCTTCCAGGGATGTCATCACATGAGTTGACCACAAGTGCATAGAGAAGGAAAAGATGTTTATTTGAGTCACAGAAGAATAAACCAAGTAATAATGTTAAAATAAAACTGAGCTACTCTCAAAAGTAAAAGTTCTACAATATGGTTCTCTGCAGCGCCACAGGTTCAGAAAAGAACATACTTTGGAGTGTATAATGTTAGGACTGTAAAATTGTTCAAACGTTCTTCACATCAGTGTATTGGTTTAATAGATGTTTTTATAGAAAGCTAAACAAACAAACAAATAAATGGTCTCTGTGGAAACCCAGCAAACAAGGAATGTTCTCAGAACTTTGGTTAACATTTTGGCAAGATTCTGTCAAAGTTCTTTTAGTAATGTTAATAGAATGGTTATATTGTCTTTACTAATGTTCTCTAAATATTAGCAAAAAAAAAAAAACTGCATAGAATTTTTATACATTCATCTAGTAAGTTTTTTTAAATGTTACTTTTTTTTCCAGAATGTTCAGAGGACATTCGAAAATATCGTTCCCATTATGTACATACATTTTTTAAATGGAATGTTTCCTTGATTTTTGCATAACCCCTAAAATGTCTTTAGAATTTTTTAGAATTTAGGCCTATATTTTTGTTAGCTGGAAAGCAGGAGTCTCTTCACATTACTCTCACATAAGTGCATACTGAAGGGATGTTGACTGAAATAAAGTCATAATATTCAAAGTTTTCAAGCCTAATAACTTGTTGAAATCACTGTGTAGTGAGCACTGTCATGTTGTGATGGAGATCAGTGAATGTTTCCTATTAATGTATTTCACCAAGCCCGGAAGCCTTCTCCATTTGACCTCCTGCCCCTATAATAACAATTAACCCCCAGTGTGTGGAGAAGCACTCACAGACACCCACATTACCATATTATTTACCTGTCTGGCTCAAGTGCTTTGAGTCACAAGGCGATAAAGTGCCACCCTCCCCCAAACCCACCTTCTGCTTCCTTAGTAAAGGAAATGTGATCAAATGTTTGGAGAAACATTTTGGATGGAAAGTAAACATGAAATCAAAATTCCAAATTGACCTTGTTGACATTTAAATACAAATTCCTGGACTTATCTGTACAAGATTCGTCTGTGTTTATCTTTATTCAAAATAACCTGCCTTTCAACTTTCAACTTCAGCTGACGTCACTAAGCCCTTGATCTTATTTTTGAACATCTTTGTCCATTTTGGTATGAAAAGGCACTTTTAATGACCCAACCAATGTCAAATTTTTAACAAGTTTAAAACACTTGTCACACCCCTTTGGACATTTTGTTGTGTTTTCATCCCTCATGTGCTCCGTTTGACTTAGTTTCTGTTTCCACTTGATTTGCCTCTCTTAGTTCCTTGTGCCCATATCTGGTTATGTTCCGGTCCTGTTCTCGTTATGTCATTATTAGTTCATCCTCCTCACCTGCCTGTCCCTCGTCAAGCTCCCCTTTATTAAGTCAAGTCTGTGCATTCTGTGTTGTCTAGTGTTAAAGTTGAGTTGTGCGTGTGTTACCTGGCTACCTTCTGTGGATTCCTTCTATGTGCATTATATTAAAGATTATTCTTCTTCATCTTCGTCGTGCATTTCTCACACCGCACCGTGACAGAACACTGGACCTAAAAGGAAAGTATAGTGGCGATCTACCCCTGCGTTTTGTTTATCGATTTTTTTTAAGTGTTTCAGTTAGTTTATTTTTTTTTGTTTCATGGATATCGCATCCATTAATGTTGCCCCAAGGAGGGGCAACACATGGATAAATGGACGGACAGTCTTTATGTTTCAAAACGGCCATATCCTGGAGGAGTATGTTAAGGAGTTTCTCAACACCTGCCACCGTGCCAGCTGCGACGACATCTGTTTGATGGAGGGATTTTGGTGTGGTCTGGACGACGATATCCGCTTCGTCATGCCCAGGGGAAATGCGGATTTAAATGTAAGCTGGACCCTCAAGAAGTACATCAAATTTGCGCTGTGGGTGACTGGATCCACACTCACAGCGGAC